TCTCTTTTTGTATATAACTTTTGAGAATTTAATTATAATGTGTCTTAGTGTGAGTCTTTTAGGACTCCTTTGGGACACTTTTGGCTTCTCAGATTTGATATATTTTTCTCCCCACGTAAGGGAAGTTTTCAACCACTATATCTTTGCGTAAGTTTTCTGCCCCTTTCTTACTGTTTTCTTCTTTGGCGAGCCTATTAATGTGAATGTTGGTCAGCTTCATATTGTCTCATAGTCCCTTAAGCTAACCCCACTCTTTCATCTTTTTGCTCCTCTAAATGAAGTACAATACTGTGTCTTCAGTTTTGCTTATCTTTCTTCACTTGATCTAATCTGCTGTGGATTTTCTCCATTGAAATTTTTAGTGCAGTATTGTATTCTTCAGCTCTCTGATTTGTGTTTATTACTTTTGTATGTTTTCTGTCTCCTAGTACATTCTCACTTTGGTCATGCAACATTCTTCTGCCCTTGGTAAATGTCTTTATGACTATTATTTTGAACTTAAAAAATGTTTTTTAATGTTTTAATTTATTTGAGAGAGAGAGAGAATGAGAAAAAAAATTTTAATGTTTATTTATTCTTGAGACAGAAACAGAGCGTGAACAGGGGAGGGGCAGAGAGAGAGGGAAACACAGAATCTGAAACAGGCTCCAGGCTCTGAGCTGTCAGCACAGAGCCTGACGCGGGGCTAGAACCCACAAACTGTGAGATCATGACCTGAGCCAAAGTCAGATGTTTAACCAACTGAGCCACCCAGACACCCCTAAAAAATTTTTTTTAATGTTTTATTTTTGAGAGAGAGAGAGAGAGAGAGAGAGAGCACAAGAGGGGTAGGGGCAGAGAGAGACAGGGAGACACAGAATCTGAAGCACACTCCAGGCTTTGAGCTGTTGGCACAGAGCCCAATGCAGGGCTCGAACCCATGAGCTGTGAGATCATGACCTGAGCTGAAGTCAGATCCTTAACTTACTGAACCACCCAGGTGCCCTGATTTTGAACTTTTTATGAGGTAAATCATTTATCTTATTTTCATTAAGGTCAGTTACTGAGGCTTATTTATGTATTTGTTTTTTGTTTAGTTGCTGTTGTTTGGAACATATTCCTGTGTTTCTTCATTTACTTTGTCTCTCTGTATTGATTTCTGCACATTAGATAAATTAGCTACCTCTCCCAGTAATGACTGTGTGATCTGGCATAGGAGATGAATCTTTTTGATGAATCCAGTGTGAACTGTTTCTCAAACCTCTATGATTGTCCCCACCGCCTTCTATGTTCTTGGTGGCTCCCAGTATTTGGGAGTATGCTAAGAACTGTCAGTGTCCCAAAGGGGAGGATCTGAGTTAGCACCTGGTTCAGGCTAATTGGAAGCCAGACCTTCAGGAAGCAGCTTTTAAGTATACAAGTAGATCCCCTTCAGGAAAGCATTGGAATATTAAAAGACTGCTTAATTATACTGTGCTCTTAAAACTTTTTTCTCCTAGTAGCAGTGTATCTACCAAATACATGAGTAAAGAAATGAATAAATGAATAAAATTTTCTGCCTTATGAATTTCAGTTAATATTAAATTTAAAAATGAATAAATAAATGAGTGAAATATAATGTTTTTAAGAAGGTCACAATCTAATTGGGCCAGAATCTAATACATACTGTCATTAAATTTTAAGTGCTGAAGAAGTACAGAGGAGGAAGGAATTACTTCTTGACTAGAGGAATTGAGATAACTTTTATAGAAGACCTGCAATTTGATTTGGATTTTTTTTTTTCAAACGTTTATTTATTTTTGGGACAGAGAGAGACAGAGCATGAACGGGGGAGGGGCAGAGAGAGAGGGAGACACAGAATCGGAAACAGGCTCCAGGCTCCGAGCCATCAGCCCAGAGCCTGACGTGGGGCTTGAACTCATGAACCACGAGATCATGACCTAAGCCAAAGTCAGACACTTATCCAACTGAGCCACCCAGGAGCCACCCCCCCCTTTTTTTAATTTTTAAAGAAGTTTCTATTTATTTATTTTGAAGGAAAGAGGGGGAGAACAGAGGAGGGGCAGAGAGAGAGGGAGAGAGACAATCACAGTTGGCCTCTGTATTGTCAGCATGCAGCACAGGATGGCGCTGGATCCCATGGATCCCATGAACTGTGAGATCATGACCTGAGCAAAAATTAAGAGTCAGATGCTTGACCGACCTGCTGAAATTAAAGAGTCAGATGCTTGCCTGACTGAGCCACCCAGGTGCCCCTGGGATCACAAAAGTCTTGAAATAGCCAGGTAAATCTTGAGGAAGAACAAAGCTGGAGACATCAGACTTCTTGATTTCAAAATATATTGCAAAGCAACAATAATCAAATCAGTATGGCACTGGCATAAAGACAGATATACAGACCAGTGGAACAGAATAAAGTTCAGAAATCAACATATATCGTTAACTAATCTTCAACAAGAGTTCCAAGAATACACAATGGGGAAGGAATAATCTCTTCAACAAATGGTGCTGAGAAATCTGGACATCCACATGCAAAGAGTGAAATTGAGTCTTTATCCTATACTCAATCACCTCAGCATTGTGTAAAATCTTAAATGTAGAACCTGAAACTATATAAAACTCCTAGAAGAAAATATAAGGGAAAACTTCATTACATTGGTCTTGGCATTGATTTCCTGGGCATAACATCAAAGCTCAGGGAACAAAAACCAAAAACAAGTTTGACTACATCAGCTAAAAAGTTTCTTGCAGCACAGAAAACAGCAGAGTGAAAAGACAACCCATGGAATGGCAGAAAATATTTGCAAATCATTTATCTGCTAAGTGGTTAATGTCCAAAATACATAAGGAACTCCTGCAACTCAATAGCAAAAAAAAACAAAAAACAAAAAACAAAAAACAAAACAAAAAGAAAACCCTAATAACCTTATTAAAAAATGGACAAAGGACTCAAATAGACATTCTTCAAAGAATATATATAAATGGCCAACAGGTATATGAAAAACATTCTTAGTGTAACTAGTTACCAGGGAAATGTAAATCAAAACCACAATGAGATATCATCTTACACCTGTCAGGATGGCTAATACCAAAACAACAAAAGACAAGAGCTGGTGAGGATGTGGAGAATTCTAATGAATTTTTGTACATTGTTAGTGGGAATGCTAAATGGTGCAGCTGGAAAACAGTATGGAAATTCCTCAAAAAAAACTAAAAACAGAACTACTATATGATCCAGCAATATCACTTTATGAGTATTTATTCCACATCATTGAAATCAGAATCTTGAGATGTTGGCACTCCTATGTTTATTGCAGCACTAGCCATAATAAGCAAGATGTAGAAACTACCTAATTGTCCATTGATGGATAGACAAAGAAACTGTGGTATATATGTACACCATACACACACACACACACACACACACACACACACACACAGACACACACACACACACACTGTTGATATATACATATGATATACAATTCACCCTTGAAAAGAAGGGAATTCTGCAATATGTGACAACATGGATGAACCTTGAAGACATTATGGTCAGTGTAACATACCAGTCACATACAGAGGCATCTTTAATGATCCCATTTACATGAAATATCTAAAATAGTCAAATTTATGGAATTAGAGAGTGGAATGGAGGTTGTTGGGAGTTAAGGGAGGTGAGGGAAAAGGGGAGTAACTAATCAATGGACATATAGTCTCTGTTAAGTAAGGTAAAAAAGCCCTAGAAATCTGCTGTATGACATTGTGCCCATAGTCAACATAAAGGTATTGTAGACTTAAAATTTGTTAAGCAGGTTAAGTGTTCTTACGATAAAATAATTTTTTTTTTAAAATGAGGAAAAAATACATAAATGGATGTATACATGAGCAAATAAACAAATAAAACTCTTTAGTAGTCAGGGGATATATTTATATTGAAAAAAAGGGATATCGGAAGCAGAGAGATCAGTTAAATGACTATAAGGATACTTAAGGGAGGATATAATTAAGACTGTAAAAATGTACAGATAGAATTCATAATTCCTTATAATTATTTAAAAGGTAGAGAATGAGTCAGATGAAACATTAAAATTTGAAGTTTTCACAGGTGATAAAATTATAAGTTAATATTGTGTTAGTATTCCATTCTTAGATATATGCCCACCAAAAGACACATGCAAGAATATTCACAGCAATGCTATAATGGCAAAAAAACCTGGTGGTAGCACAAATGTCCATGAACCCAATAATAAACAAAATTGTGATTTATCACATAATGCAATACTATGTAGCAATGAAAATAAGTGAACTTTTGCTGCACACAGCAATATAGGTTGAGTTTACAAGCAAAGTTGAACCAAAACAAAACCTAACACAAAAACTACCTGTGTATGGTGTATGACACGATTTATGTAAAGTTCAAAGACAGGCCAGACTATCCTATAATATTAGAAGCCAGGATATTACACTTACGTCTTAGAAGAGTCATAAAGGAGTGTTTCTGGGGTGCTGGTCATGTTCTACTTTTTGATACAGTTGCTGATTCCACGAGAGTGTTTATTTTGTGAAAATTCTTTAAATTGTACAGTTGTGTTTTATGTACTTTTCTGTAAATATGTTATGTTTCAATTGAAAGTTTATTAAAATTATACATACATATGTACATTGAATGATTTCAGTAAAAAGCATGCAAACAAAATCTAGGTGTTAATAAAAGGTTAAGTTTAAACATTCTTTCAGATTATCTGAATGAAGAGAGAGTAATGTGCCTGAATTTTTTTCTTCCTTGCAGGGATTGCTAAGAAATTAACTTGAATTTTTATATAGGAGTTGTTTCAGTGTTTCTACATAGTATTAAGACAACATTTGTAATTCTATAATTTTGTCATTAGAGTAGTGACAGAGAGCCATCATTCAACCAAAATGGTTTCTTAAAGTAGAGAAAAGCACCGGGTTCTTTTTTTATTCACTTGATTTCCCCATCTCTTTATTATATTTGTTCATATACATTTCTTTGCCTACAGTCACATTGTTTTTGGAGTTTTGGAAACAGCGACAAGCCAGAATGGAATATGAGTGGGACCTGGTGGACTTTGAAGAGGAACAGCAGCAGCTTCAGCTGAGACCTGAATTTGAAGCTATGTGTAAACACAGGAAAATAAATGCAGTAACTAAGGTAGATTAGGAAACTGAAATGGGCAGCGTATCTCAATGGACATACCTCCCAAATAATTACGCATATTTTAATTTGCCTTTAAAATATTCTCCAACATATAAATCTTATAAACTTCTTTAGTTGTTTCTAATATGTATTTCAAATATATACAAAAAAAAGGTAGATAGACAAGCGTAATGAACCCCAGGATGGACCCATCACCCAGCTTCAATTCATATTAATTCGTGGACAATCTTGATTCGTTTACACTTGCTCCTCCCTGCAACTAGATTATTTTGCAGCAAATACGAGGCATCGTGTCATGAAATAGCATGGGTTTGTAATAAATGATGTAAAAGGAAAATGGAAAATAATGTGTCTGCTGTGTGGGCATATATATATATATATATATATATATATATATATGTATGTATATGTATATATATATGTGTGTGTACATATACATGTATATGTATACATATACATGTACATACATGTATGTATGTATATGTGTATATATATATGGTATATATATATACACATGGATATGATACTAAGTTAATATGCAAAAATTTAAATAGTATTGTAATAAGATAGTGGACTTATGAGTGATTGTTTTATTAGACCACATTTTATTCATCTAGTCCTTTTCAATTTATCATAATGGGAAGATCATTGCAGTAGTGTTTGGGCAGTAAAGTCTAGATTTGGGGATCCTTAACTGGAAAATCACCTGTATGTTGCTGACTGAGTAATTTGACTTCTTGGTAATTCTTTTTTTTTTTTTTAATGGGAAAATAGAAGGTATTTTGCCTTCAAAGACCAGACTCCTGGGTGCATATTCTTAGCGTCCCTACCTTTCCATAATCTATAATCACTGCGTTGCTTGATGCTGTTAAAGGTGAATAGAATATGTCTCTAACACAATCCCAAAACACAATATGTCTCTAACACAACCAGAAAAGTAGATTTTCCTACTTTGTTCAGGACACTATTCTTGTGGTATAATACTCAAAATTATTTTCACAGTTTAGGCATTCACAAAACACTTATTAACTTTTATTGAGACATTGCAAAAAATTCAGTAAATGAGAAAAGGGGAAAAACACCTCAGAAAATACATTAACAACTTGGATGGCTGTATGACATTAAGGAAATATATTAAAAGAGACATTGTCCTGATGACATGAAGTGTATCTGTTCCTATTTCATGGTGTAAAAAAACTAAAAGCAGGCCTAAAATTACTGACATAAAAACAATATGTACTGAATGTTTATTTACATTTGAAACCAGCTGAAAAATAGTGTGGATTGATCCACTGTGAATCACCCACTTTAATGGTTTTGAAATCAAGGGATTTTTTACTCACTTGCAGTGCTTCAGTGGTTAAGTACAACCAGAACCCTCACATTTGAGTCTGTACTGGGAACACATATTTGTATGCATGGACACACACATGGGCACAAACAAATATGCATACACAGACGCAAACGTATCAGACACACATGCACACACATGTACATAGTCACCTACATGCACACGTGCACACACATCCGGGGTTTCAGTAGAGCACTTGGAGGGCTATTTTGCCTGTTGAGTTCTGTTTGCATTCAGTCTTCCCTAAAAATCCTCAAGATGTAAAAATCCTCCCTAAAAATCCTATCCTTTAGATAGGATTACAAAATTTAGATTTCTGCTGACAGCTATTCTTTTACTACATGGCAGTATTTTTTTTGGATAAGATCTAACTACCTCTTGATATAGGAGAGAATTTTCAGCTGATATAATTAATATCTTCCATTAATAACTTAAAAACATGAAGGTAGAAAAGACTGGGCCCATGAACTGTGTGGAAAAACAGAATCCTGTTAAGGGTAAAGAAGGCACCCTGTTTAATATTATACATAGCAATTATGGAGCGATGCAGTTTGATTGAATTCAGTTAGAATAAAACTGTAATATCATTAAAGCATTTCAAATTAAACAGCAGCCCTCAGACTTGTCAGGCCTAATATCACTCCATTTCAACACTGAGGAAATAGTGTGTATCCATTGTGGCTCATATTATGTATAAAATCTGTCAACTAAGAGTAGTAGAAGGCTTCTACTTAAAGGGAAGGAACCAATGCTAGAATGTAGCTTCCCATGAGCTGTAGCGGATTCTCTGGGGAAGGTTTCTACTTTCACTGGGTTTTGTGGTTTTGACTGCTTTTTGGAGTCCCAACTTTGTGGGTAGATTTTGATAATGCTGTGATTTCTTCTAAATTGCAGGAGATGGAACCTTATATGCCTCTATATAGTCGCCTTCCATGGTACTTTTTATCAGGAGCTACGGTGACGTTATGGGTGAGCATTCTTTTACAACTGCTCTCATGTCATTGACGTGCAGTCGTAGGAAGAATATCCTAGCAGTTTCATCTGCAGTGACTCTTGAGTCCCTCTCCTTCCTCCTCGTCCCCAGTCCTTTTGTCTCGAATACAGCTTCTATATAAAATAAAGTGTGATCTATGTGGAGGTGCCATAATTGAACCTTGGGAATAATTGAACCTTGGGAAAAGAGCTGGGGGGAGACAGCGAGGCTTCATCTCAGAAACTGTCCTTCCCCCTCTCCTAGCACTTCATTAATTAGGTGATAACTTGAAACCTCAACAGTATAACAAACTTATAGTCTGCAGACTCTTTGGTTAGTGTTTTGGTTTTAATCATTAATTTATCTTTATCTCCACTTAAAATAGCTACACAAAATGCAAACAAAAAGCATATGCTATTGAAATTTATTTTCTTGCTGAAATAAATAGAAGAAAGTATTACTTCTGTTTGAAAAATTTAATTAGCATATCCCATTGTGAGGGAGTCAGGTTTTCTCCATGCTTTTGAACTAATAGATTCATTCCTCCATCATCACAATTTATTTCCTGCCCTCCACTCTCCAAATCTGTGCCCTCTTATAGTTGGCCTTTAACTTTAGGAAAAGAAGAAATGTTACCCCCTGAGAGTTTAGCATTGTTGAAATATAAATAATTAGCAGCTGTAGACTATAGTTTAACCTTACCAGTGCATATTATCCCATAATATTTTAACATTTCTAGTTAAAGGAATTGATTTTTCTGTTTTAAATGTATGTTTTCTTAGATGATATAACAGTCACTGAGGAGAAATGATAGAGTAAATGGAGGGGGCAATAATCAATTCAGGGCACTACTTAAGAAATAATATAGAATATGGTCTCAGAAAGATTGTTCTAACCTTTATTTCTAGTACTCATTCAACCTGATTCAGTCCCTCAATTTTCAGAATCAAGTTTTCCGATCATTGAGATAAAGGCATCCCTACATCTTTCTGTTTTTCCAATATGGGAAGTGTTTAAAATTTATGCAGAATCTATACAAATATCTCAGTGACCAGGCATATCAGACCACTGATGGCAACACTCTGAGGGGTAATGAAATAGAATCTGTAACTGTGTTCTTCTTGGGAAAGCACATGGTTTTCACACCACCTGTTTGGAGCAGAGGTTGGCAAATGTTTTCTGTCAAGGGGCCAGATGTATTTTAGGCTTTGTGAGCCTTGTACAAATAGCCCCTGGCGTCTTTGTTTTTTCTTATAATCTTTAAAAAAAAAAAAAAAAGCAAAAACAAAACAAAACAAGACATTTTTAACTCAAGAATCATTTAAGAATAAGTAAGGCCGCGGGCAGGATTTTGTCTTCCGGATAGTTTTCTAGTGCTTGGTAGAGGATGGGCCTAAAAGATGAGCAATGGCTACTTTTCTGTTTTAGGCTCCCCCAACTGCTGCTACTGTAGATCCTGTCTTATCTCCAGCCCTTTCTCCTTGGCAGTGTTCTTTTACTGCCACCTGTCGTGAGAGAGCCTGGCTTGGTCTGCTTTCCATGTCAGAGGCACTAACCTTAACATGACGCGATGAAGAGACTAGTTATGTTTCAGATGTGTACACATTGCAGAGATGCAGAGACCCAGTGACCGATTCCTTCTTTCCCATTTCCAGATGGCTCTTGTCATTGCCTGTATGGTAGCTGTGATTGTGTACCGCCTGTCGGTCTTTGCTACATTTGCTAGCTTTATGGAAAGTGAAGCATCCTTTAAGCATGTCAAAAGTTTCCTCACTCCCCAGATAACTACATCACTCAGTGGATCCTGCTTAAACTTTATCGTCATCTTGATCTTGAATTTCTTTTATGAAAAGATATCTGCGTGGATTACAAAAATGGGTAAGCTGGCCAGATCATCTGTGTAACACTGAAAAAGTATTCCCGCCAGTGGTATATATCCACTGTGGATCATCCCCTGGGGTGTTCATATTTAAGGCAGTTCTTCAAGTTCTAAAGCAATTTTGTTCTACGGGTAGATGCATAGGCTGGTACTCAGAACCCCCAACAGTCATATTTAGGCCCATCGTAGTGAAAGCAAGAAAAAGAACTAGACAGAAGAATTAGGACTCTGTAGATCTTTTTTGAGTATTTTTGTCTTAATCCTCCCTTGAGGGGGCTAGTTGAATTTTAAGTAAAATCCTCACTTTCCTCAAGACACGGGTTATTTTTATTTCCTGTGTATGGTTTTTAGAAGGTATTTGATTTTGAAAACCATTGTAGGAAAAACAGAACAGTCGGCTTTTCCTGAGTAAATCTTACACGTAGTGCTTTTCTTTTCAGTTGCCGTGTCTTAGATCCTGGATTATTCTCCTTTTAAATGATTAAAAGTTCTCCCACAACCATGAGGGATGGTAAAGGCGTCACAGGTGAAATGGAGATTTAGTCCAGAAGAGGAGTGCAGAGCACATTTTTTTCTGGTCTTGCCCCCCAGCAAGTTGGAAATGAGATCAGAGACCCCTCTCCAGACCTCAGCTCCCTCCTCTAAGTCAGGACACCATCACTGTGTGCAACAGTAACCAGAAAGAGCACAGTATTCACCGAGCACCGGAGTACGCACTAGGAAGCAACTTTAATTAAATGCTATCCTCAAATTTGTAGTTCTTTTTCAATTTTACTGCTTTTTTTCTGCTAATAACAACAACAAAATATCTAGCAGATAGCACTTAAAAACAAAGCATCTAAAAAATCAGTTTTAAGTGAGAAAAATTACTTGTGTTCATATTAGAGATTTTTTAGCAATGCAGAGGAATTATCTGTGTCTTTAGAATAATATGTGTTACTATTTCAGTATTATTGAAGCTGTCATCAATTTGGCTGGAACAGCTCATCCTGTTGGGAGATAATCAGCTCAGAAAAACATGCTCCCTGACTCTTTTACACCTACTGATGCTTCTCTGTGGTGTGAAGGGAATTTTATATATATATATATACATACATATATATATATATATATATATATATATATATATATATTTATCTTTGGAATTCAGGATATATGATATATAAGGGGGCTTATGCTCGCCATTCTGATAAGGGTTTAAATGCTATATTCTGACTGTGTGATTCCAGGCAAGTATTTTACCCATCTAAATAAAGTAATGACAGCTTCCTAGGCTTCTCCAGTGATTAGATTAATACAAAGTCTCTGATAGAAAGCTGAACACAAGGGGTGCCTGGGTGGCTCAGTCGGTTAAGTGTCTGACTTCAGCCCAGGTCATGATCTCACGGTCCATGAGTCCGAGCCCTGTGTTGGGCTCTGTGTTGACAGCTCAGAGCCTGGAGCCTGCTTCAGATTCTGTGTCTCCCTCTCTCTCTGACCCTTCCCCATTCATGCTCTGTCTCTCTCGGTCTCAAAAATAAATAAACGTTAAAAAAAAGAAAGCCGACCATAAATCTTGATATTGGTCTGTTAGAATGAAGAGTGGGTCACATTTCAACAGGTTATCTGAATAATGTGACTAATAATATGACTTGAACCAGGGAATACAGAATTAAAAGAGAAACAGGAAGGCACATAATTTAACCTTGGTGTTTTATTACTTAACAGAAATTCCTCGAACTTACCAGGAATATGAGAGCAGTCTTACCTTGAAAATGTTCCTGTTTCAGTTTGTAAATTTTTACTCGTCCTGCTTCTACGTAGCTTTCTTTAAAGGGAAGTTCGTGGGCTATCCCGGAAAATACACGTATTTGTTTAATGTGTGGAGAAGTGAAGAGGTAGGAATTCTCTTGAGAGGTTTGTGGCTTTAGTAACGCAATAATTAACTACATACTTTTTGTGTGTCCAGCACTAACTCAGATTTTATCAGGATTTAAGAGAAGTCTAAGACACCAACTCTCTCCACAGAGAGTATTGGTCTCACAATCCTGTCATCTGGTAGACTTTCCAATTCCTTTTGGGCAAGAAGTGATATTGTACCTATTGTTTAGTAGTAAATATGAGCTATAAAATGGGATAAGTACGTTTTATATTCCTGAAGATTTCCTGCAAAGGAATGAATGATAGTGTTCCACAAGTATAGCAGAAATGGCTCCACCATGCGTTACAGAGTTAGACCAGTAGGTGGTTTCCATATGTGGTTGTGTATCTAAATCACATGGAGAAAATAACAACTTCCAGCCCGAATCCAAATATAAAGATTCAGATATAAATATATAAAGAATCTTCTAAGAGTAAGACCAGAATCTGAATCTAATGCTGCTATCTCATAACTGGTTAATGAACATGCTTGAAACTGTTGAGCTAAATATCTCTTTATACCCCTTTAACATCCATTCCCATTAAAATCTTTAGATTGTAGTCTTTTGGTTTGAGATTTTTTTTTTTTTGCAAAAGTCTATCTTTCATCATTCACTCTTTTTTCTTCTTGCCTCTGACTAGTGTGATCCTGGAGGCTGTCTAATAGAATTGACGACCCAGTTGACCATCATAATGACTGGGAAACAGATCTTTGGAAACATTAAAGAAGCCATTTATCCGTATGTATGACTTACAAGTTTTTCCTAAATAACCATAAGAGCTTTCTTCTGGAAGAAGATGGAATTCTTTGATTTTCATGGTATCTGTGTTAGCAAATGCTTAAGTCAACAACAACAACAAAAACTCACTTTTAATCAATAGTAATGCTTTTAGGTAACACAGGCTTTTAAATATGGATTTTTATTGCTTGAGTGAAGTTGAGGGAAATGTATTATCCCTCTTTCCTGTGGAGATTCCATTGGGAAATCTAAATATTGTATCCTCTTTATTTTATTCTGTATGTCACATATTATTTCTCAAGATTACTAAATGTTGAACTCTGTTAAAAATATCCATGTGAGGGGCACCTGAGTGGCTCAGTCAGTTAAGTGTCCCACTCTTGATTTTTGCTCCGGTCATGATTTCATGGTTCATGAGTTCAAGCCTTATGTCGGGCTCTCTCTCTTTCCCTCTCTCTTTTCCCTCCCTCCCCCCCAAAATAAATAAATAAACTTTGTGACATGGACACACTTAGGCACAAAAATTGGTCATGAATGAAGTTTTAGTATATGAAGGAATTGCTCCCTAGTCCAAAAGCATAGCAATAATGAATACATTATCAAAAGAGAAAACCAGAATGACAGTTGATCTCAAATATAAGTTGAAAATTTCCATGGATAAAAAGAGAAAGAATCATAAGCCTGTAATCTTGCAGGTCTCCCAGTTAGGAAATGACAGTGCCAAGGTTAACACCTATAGTGTCAAGGGGACTAAAGTGCCCCACTTAGGACTAGGGCTTGGCCAGTGTAACTGTACTTGATGTTAGGGATTGGGTTTATTCTCACTTCTTTATGAAAAAGTTGAAAACACCCTCCCCCTCTGCTCCTACTTCTCCCTACAGTTCTGTAGCACTCCTGGGGTTCTTTTTCATGTGCTGACAAAGGGAGAACATAGACTTATCTTTTCAAACAGTATTTGATGCACTGCATCCCAATTGCCCCAGGGAAATAACTCTAAGCTGCTCTTTTAAGTCCTAGCTGTAAACTGAGATCTGGAGGGCAGAATGGGGATAACCCCTAAACCAAACACAAGAGGAGAATAAATACAGACACACAAGGAAGTAAAAGAAAAGTAAAAGAGGAAAGGAGACAGACACACAAGGAAGTAAAAGAAAAAAGAAAAAAAGTAAAATTAAACCTACAGAAACCAAAATTCCATAACTTATGATAAAATTTAATGCTACAGAGACTGCTAACAAAATCAAGTTTTAGAAAGTGAACTTACTCTAGCTAGAAGCTTCTGGCAAAGCCTAAAAACATAAAAGGAAGTGATACTGTCATTTAGAAGGATCAGGAAAGAATTTAAATAAAAACATATAAATGAAACAAGAATAAATTGACAGTAAAAAGAATCAATTATACATAAATGAAAAAAAATTGTACTTTAAATAAAGAGTACAATAGGTGACATCAATTGCAGACTGGACACAATTGAAGAGTGAATTAATGAATTGGAAAATAGTACTGAGACACTCCCACGTTATACAAATGGCAATAGAGTGACAATGAAATTAAAAAAATAAAGTGGCAGACTATATTAGGAGGCTTCCACATCAACTTAGTAGTAGTTCCAGAAAAAAGAGAATGGGTAAATGGTGGGAGGGAAAAATTCTTTGACTAGGTAATTGCTGATAATTTTCCAAAACTGAAGGAAAACATGAGTTTCAGAAATGAAAACAAATTCGGAGTATGAAGTAAGATAAATAAAATTAAATTTACACCCAGATATGCTATGGTGAAACTCCAGAACATGAGAGGTAAACAATCTTAAAATCTTCCAGAAGAAAAAAGAGTATCATCTACACTGACAACAGATTTTTTACTCATAGCACTGGATACAGAGGACGGTAGAGTCGTTTCAAGATTTGGAGTAAAATTAATGCACACCTTAGATTTCTAGAACCAGTTTAATTGTTTTATAAAGTGCAGGTGAAATAAAGACACTTTTAGACATAAAAACAAGAATTTACATTTATAGACCCTCAATGGAAGAACTACTGAAAGGTGTAGTTGAGCAAGAAAAGAGCACAAAATCAAAGTATGGGAAGCAAGAATCATCGATCAGTACAGAAAGAGTAAGCACCAAAATAAAATGAAATAACTGGTACAAATTTTTAAAATATATGGGATTTATATGCTGAAAAATACAGATCCTGGTGGAAAAAAAATTATTTGGGGAGAAATGTGCTCACAGATTGGAAGACTAAAATTAGTAATGACGCCAGTTATCCCCAAATTGATATATAGATTTGTAATTCCAATCAAAATATCAGCAGAATTTCTATAGTTATGGACAAGCAGATTCTAAAATTGATATAGAGGGCAAAGGAACTAAAACAGGCCAAACAATTCTGATAAAAAATACAGTTGGAAGAATTGCACCGCTCGATTTTAAGGCCTATTATGAAACTATATTAATCAAGATGGTGAGATTGGTGAAGGAATGCATGTATGGATCAGTGGAACTGAGTAGAGATTGCAGAAATAAATCCATGCAAATGTAGCCATTTAATTTTTGACAAAGGTGCAAAAGCAGTTCATTGAAGAAGCTGCTGGAACAATATAGACCTCACACCTCATTTAAAAATAAAGAAGATATTGTGGTATCTTTATCCCTTTATCAGATAAGCCATATGCATATCCTCTCCTATTCAGTAGGTTGTCTTTTGGTTTGTTAGTTGTTTCCTTTGCTGTGACTTTCCCTTATTCAGGATGATGTTCACCCAGGATTTTGGTAGATGCTTTTGATCCAACTGAAATAATTTCCTTCTTTTCCTACTTTTCTGTCATATAGAGGTTTTAATAGGTGCTTGAAATGTATCAAATGAATTTTTCTGCATTTGTCAACGTGATTTTATCTTTTTCTACTCAAATCTGCTAATGTGACTTATTACATTGATTGATTTTCTAATAAAAAGCCCTTTGTTCCTTAAAGTAATCTAACATCATAATATATTATTTTGTAAATAATATGGAATTTAGTTAGGCAATATTTTGTTTGGGATTATTGCATTTATTTTCACATATTAGATAAGCCTCTTTGTTTCCTTTGTCATATATTTTCTCTTGTAACCAATTTCTCATTTCCTTGAGCATTCTTCGTGACAACATAAAGGTTAATAAATTAAATGGAAAAAAAAAAAAAGGTGCTGTGGTGACCCTCTTGTCCACATGCTCTTTAACAGAACTGTCTCTGAGTAAATATATTTTCATAGGGGAGAGTCAGGGTTGTCTTATTTTCTTTATCACCCCAATAAAGAACTTTGACTGCAGCATGTGTTATGAAAAGAACTCTAGATTTTTATTTCAACTTTAGCTATAGTCATCTCTCCTTGCTCTGTGATCTTAAGTTACCTACCCTGTCTTACTGCCAATTTCTAGATCTAACGCCCTTATTCTCTGACCCCTTACTTTTAAATTCTAATCATATATTTACTTTTATCACTTCCAACAGTATGGTTCTGAATTGGTGGAGACGTCGAAAAGCTCGGACCAATTCCGAAAAGCTATACAGTCGATGGGAGCAGGATCATGACCTTGAAACTTTTGGATCTCTTGGGCTGTTCTATGAGTACTTAGAAACAGGTAATTTTTAACCACTGTCTTGAAACATAGAGTCAGGTTGAGTAGAGTAAGTGTTTTTCCAGCTCTTTATATTTCTTCCTGCCTTGCAGATGGTAGGTGTCCAAAAAATTATTGGATGGTAGGTTAAAAGACACATGGATGGATATGGAAAAGATTGGTTCAGTATTTATATCCTTACCAAATAGAATGCAGAATGAAGTTTAATTTCAAAACACCAATGGTAGAGATGTTTTTCCTATCAATTGAACATTAAGATTGTTGAACCACATAAAGTATGGATTACTTTTAAATTCCTATCTCAGATTAGCTTGCATGGCTGTCCTGTTTGCCACACTGACAGCCCAGAGAGAGAATAAGTTGAAAGATGTTTCCAGAGTCTGACATACATTTAAGTAAGTTCTTTATTTCAGGCTGAAAAGAAGCAGGCTAAAAACAGTTGTGCAAGGGAAGCTCACATTGAATACAAGAATGCATAAAAATGCTAAGGATTGAACGGAGAAGAGATTTTGAGGTGAAATTTTAGGAAGGATTATTGCTGAGGACTACTTATAAAGTCTACTTGAGTGTTTCCCCTCTTTTTTTTTTAAATATATGAAGTTTATTGTCAAATTAGTTTCCATACAACACCCATTGTTCATCCCAACAGGTGCCCTCCTCAATACCCATCACCCACCCTCCCGTCCCTTCCACCTCCCATCAGCCCTCAGTTTGTTCTCAGTTTTTTTTTTTTAATTTTTTTCCAACGTTTTTATTTATTTTTGGGACAGAGAGAGACAGAGCATGAGCGGGGGAGGGGCAGAGAGAGAGGGAGACACAGAATCGGAAACAGGCTCCAGGCTCCGAGCCATCAGCCCAGAGCCTGACGCGGGGCTCGAACTCACGGACCGCGAGATCGTGACCTGGCTGAAGTCGGACACTTAACCGACTGCGCCACCCAGGCGCCCCTGTTCTCAGTTTTTAAGAGTTTCTTATGCTTTGGCTCTCTCCCACTCTAACCTCTGAGTGTTTCCTCCCAAGTTACCCTCTCTGCTTCTCTGGTGGAATAATATTCTTCACTTACTCTCTAATCCCATAATGATAGAATGAAAAAATGACCTGAAATTGTTATTGATTCTCCACTGTGATACATACACATGATACCTGGATTGAAATAGGTAAATTTAAGACCAATTGAGAGAAGTCTGTTTCATATAGCTGACTGTAAAATTGGGCAGTCCTTGCTTTAGGGGTGATGAGGCTGTAATTTTTAATTAAATTTGTAAGTATCAAATGCATTTGTGCATAGATGCGTTAGGGATTATCACTGCAATTTTAACAAAATGAAATCAAGGTGTCATAAGAAAATTAACTACCATTTATTGAGACACAGCTAAGAGTTAGTTTATTCTGGTTGTTTAATGAACATTATCCCTAATCTTGAAACGTTCTGCAGAGGAGTCATTATTCACTGCATTTTGTTTTAGAGGATACTGAAATTTGGATAGGTTAATTTGTGTTATGGGCTGAAAGATTTTAGGTAAAAACCTGGGATTTGAACCCAGAAAATTCAAGCTGTTTCTACATAACACTTCCTCTGAATTTTCTGTCTCTTAGTTCAGTACAGGTGTTCAGTAGATTTAGTAAATGGCAAGACTGATTATTTTGAGAATTTTTTGTGAGAAAAGTTGAAGTTCAGAAACACTTGGGATTCATCTAAAAATAGAGGACTCGTGGAAGAGTCTTTTTTTTTCCCCTTTAGTGGAAAGCCATTCCTGTTCTCTTATTACATTTTTCACTCACGGGAAGCCCAAACTGCCAGTTGAATGGATTCTTGTACCTTAATCGTTGTTGGAAGCAAACAAAAATAGGAAGAGAAGCTAACTTACATAGATGCTAAGTCTTAATGAGAAAAGAGAATAAAATTTATTTAGAAAGATGTCAAGATAGTATAGAGGATCAGGACCTTAACCAACCTTAAATAATGTATTCATTCATAAGACTTATTATAGTTGAGTATGTTTATATACCCAACACATGCTGGCTCTTGGAAGCGTATAAATGAATCAGTCCTTATCCCTGATCTCACAGATTTAGCAAGATAGAAAAACTTGATTACCCCACTAATGTGCCAATACCAGTGTAAAGGCTGGGCCAGCATAGGCATAAACATAGCCCAAAATAAAAGGCTATGTTTAAAAAGAATAAAGAGAATCTCTTATCTGACAAGAGGAGATGCTTTCTTCAGAGAAGCAGATGTCAAAAGAAACAGCCAGGACAGAACTGAGTTGTACATGCTCAGTTTCTCCTTTCTATTCTAGTAAGCAAACAAGTCACTAGGCTTCCAATGAGGAGGAAGGAGTGGGCAGATGGAAAGAGGCCTGGAGGGTTTTGCTGGTGTAGATCCCTCTAAAAGGAAGGAGTTGGAGGTATTGGGCAGAATGTTCCCCTTTTTCTCTTTCATAATAATGACTTCACTATTTTTTTTTTCCCTACAGTTATCCAATTTGGATTTGTCACATTATTTGTGGCCTCTTTTCCTTTGGCTCCTCTTCTTGCTCTCTTGAATAATATTATAGAGATCCGAGTAGATGCCTGGAAACTTACAACTCAGTACAGGAGACCGGTAGCTGCTAAAGCTCATAGCATAGGTGTTTGGCAAGACATTCTTTATGGAATGGCTGTCCTTTCTGTTGCAACTAATGTAAGTGGACCCATTTTGGTTGGACGGCTTCGTATTTTATTTCGTTTTCTTGGGGTTGGGGAGATGTGAATGATGCTTAACTCAATATTTATTTATGTTGCTTTCATCATGGTGACAGTCCATAATGATAAACCATCCCTACACTTTTATGCACTGAACAACATAGAGAAATTTATGACATGCAAACTCTTAGAAATACAAAGAAAATTGTAAAACCACTGTCCTTAAAATACCATGATATAGTTTCATAGCATGTGACAGAGTAGACAGAAAATATGTAATGGTATAAAAGATTTGAATAACACAATTAAAGCTTAATTATACAAGGAGTTGTATACTACAAATAGAGAATATAAAACATTAATGTGTTTTGCTTATGGAGCACTTATTAAAAAATGATATTGAGGGGCTCCTGTGTGGCCCAGTCGGTTGTTTCCAACTTCAGCTCAGGTCATGATCTCACGGTTCGCAAGTTCAAGCCCTGCATGGGGCTCTGTGCTGACAGCTCAGAGCCTGGAGCCTGCTTCATATTCTGTTTCCTTCTCTCTCTGCCCTTCCCCCGCTCGTACTCTGTCTCTCAAAAATAAATAAACATTAAAAACATTTTTTTTAATGATAATGAAACTAAATTCTCCAAAGCAGAAATTTTATAACACTTATTTGTATATAATAATGTTATAAAAATGAAGTCAATAATAAAGATAATTAAAAAAAAATCTAACTACCTAACATTCACACTCCCAAGTAAGCTTTATTGTATAAAATGGAAGCAAAATTCAAATTATAGAGAGCTTAATGAAAATGAAACCCTATAGGAATTAGCTAAAACTATAGTTACAGAAAAATTCATAGCAATAAATGCTTTTGTTATTTTTTTAAGTTTATTTTGAGAGAGAGAGATTGAAAGAATATGTGTGTGAGCAGGGGAGGGGCAGAGAGAGATTGGAAGAAAGAGAGAATCCCAAGCAGACTCTGTGCTGTCAGTGTGCAGCCCAATGTCAGGCTCAATCTCTTGAACCACGAGACCATGACCTGAGCCAAAGTCAAGAGTCAGACACTTAACTGTCTGAGCCACGCAGGTACCCCTGAATGCTTTTATTATTAAAAAAGAAGACTTGAAAGCATAAGCTGAGCACATAATTTCAGAAAGTAAAGAAAAACATAAAACTAATCAACAAAAAGTAATAGGAAAGAGTTTATAGAGATGCAATCAGAAATAATCAAAATAGAAAATAAATTAAAAAAGCAATATAATTCCTATGTGAATCAAGAGCTGCTTCATTGAAAAGACATATAAAACTGACAATCTCAAACAAGAAATAACTTATAAGATACAGGTAAGAAAATTGTGAAATGGTTATATATGTGCCTTTATTCAAATAAATTATAAAATCTATTTGAAATTGTCACCTTTTTAGAAAATAAAGGGGCGCCTGGGTGGCGCAGTCGGTTAAGCGTCCGACTTCAGCCAGGTCACGATCTCGCGGTCCGTGAGTTCGAGCCCCGCGTCGGGCTCTGAGCTGATGGCTCAGAGCCTGGAGCCTGTTTCCGATTCTGTGTCTCCCTCTCTCTCTCTGCCCGTCCCCTGTTCATGCTCTGTCTCTCTCTGTCCCAAAAATGAATAAACGTTGAAAAAAAAATTAAAAAAAAAAAAAAAGAAAAGAAAAACTGCCAAAGTTTATTCAGTAAGTGGTAGAAAACCTGAATGGACCAGTAGCTATAGAAGTAATATTAAAAGTTTTTAGGGGCACCTGGGTGGCTCAGTTGACAGACTTGGGCTCAGATCATGATCTCTTGGTTCATGAATTCGAGCCCCACATCAGGCTCTGTGCTGACAGCTCAGAGCCTGGAGCCTGCTTCAGATTCTGTGTCTCCTCTCTCTTTGCCCTCCACTTGTGCTTTGTCTCTCTCTCTCTCTCTCTCTCTCTCTCTCAAAAATAAATAAACATAAGTAACTAGCTAACTAACTAACTAAAATTTTTTTAAGCATCTACACTAACAATGTAGATGGCAGAGCCAGATGGTTTTAAATGGACTTACCTAACCTAAAAGAAACAGGAATTCCAGAGCTTAGGTAAGAATGGGAAAATACCATTCCTATAGAATTAAATACTAAGATTAATTACACTGAACTTTGGGCAATTTACCATCACATGGTCTTCTATCTCTCCTTTGCTTCCCACCAGCCACCAATAGTGCACACATGTGTGCAAACTCACACCGATGCAGGCACACACACTGTCCTAGCTTACAGAGTTGATTCAGCCAAATGAATTTGGCTAGGGACAGTAGAACTATGCTGTGAAATAAATGGAAGAAATAACAAGGCATTGTGGAAAGAGCATGGTTTTTGGAGCTAGATGCATTTAGGTTCACTTTTCACCTTAGCCACTTTCTAGCTGTGAAATCTTGGAATACTAATCATATGCCTTAAAAGGCCTATTTCATGTTTTAGCCCAAAGACTCATTTATTAACATGATTTGTAATGGCATTTTAATCATTTGTATCCATATAGAACTGAGACATATGCAAATCAGATATTCTTAAAATGAAATTGTTAGCTCAAAATCTCCCTCTTACTTTGTTCTTTAGGCTTTTATTGTTGCATTTACCTCGGACATCATTCCCCGTTTAGTTTACTACTATGCCTACTCAAAGGATGCCACTGCACCCATGAAAGGATATGTCAATGACAGCCTGTCAACATTCCTGATAGCTGATTTTCCAAACCACACTGCACCTTGGGAGAAACGAGACTTCACCACTTGCAGGTTCCTTCTTACGTTCTTAGCTTTTAATTTTGCTTTTTAAATGTATTTTTTAAATTCTCCATTTTCTTCCTGTCTTACAATGTGAAGGATTTATTTGGGGCAATAAAAATCCTGGGTAAAGTGCGTCAATTTTGGAATTCACTCATCATATGAATCTGGTTTGGAAAAGTAGAATGTCCAAAAGTAAAAGAATATCATGGGTAAAGATATCAATTTTGAATTGTTTCTTATTTTTTAAATTTATTGGAAAGACTTCTGACCAACAAATACATCTTGGTCCCAAAATGTAGTATCTATAGATCATACAGCATGATCATATTATATATGCATTTAACCTACTTGAATTTAACTATGTCCTTAAAAAGAGAGTGAGAAAGGGAGAAATAATATGATAAGTTCACCATCCATCCCACTTTAAGGGTTTCTTCCGTGTAGGAAGCATGAAATTAGATTTGTGAATGTATTTCCACATTCAGTGTCTCATGTACTGTGAGGGTCTTTTTACCCTATGAATTAAAGATTAAATATAATAAATATATATGACATAAATGTATATATATATATATATGTATATATACATATGTATACCTATGTATATATACATATATATATATATATACATACATAGGTATATATACATACATATACATACATATATACGTATACATACACACACGCACGCACACACACACACCCCACTTAACTTAAACCTTAAGCCAGCTACTTCATCTGGGATTCCAACAAAGAAACAGCAAAATGTTGATAGAGCAGTAGACAAAACCATTGTTATATTTTAGATTTGCATATAGAGGAATCATAGTATACTGTTTAAGAGCATAGATGTGGGTCAGTTTTCTTGATTTCATCACTTCCTAGTTGGACTAAATCTTTGAAGAACATCAATCTCTAGCAACTTTGTAGAAAACAATGAGCCCCCAAGGTTGAGCACTAAGAAAAGTCCAGAAGAGGGGCGCCTGGGTGGCGCAGTCGGTTAAGCGTCCGACTTCAGCCAGGTCACGATCTCGCGGTCCGTGAGTTCGAGCCCCGCGTCAGGCTCTGGGCTGAAAGCTCAGAGCCTTGAGCCTGTTTCCGATTCTGTGTCTCCCTCTCTCTCTGCCCCTCCCCCGTTCATGCTCTGTCTCTCTCTGTCCCAAAAATAAATAAACATTGGAAAAAAAAAATTAAAAAAAAAAAAAAAAGAAAAGTCCAGAAGAATAGTAAGAAAAGCAAAAACAATGCAGTCAAATAAGCCAAAAGAAAATAGAGTTTCAAAAAATAGAAATGGTCAACAATGTCAAGTCCTACCATCTAAAGATCAAAAAAGATGAGGATTAGCGTGTTTCTTCAGTTTAAGGATAGGAGACAATGCATTTCAGGGAAGTGGTGCATAGAACTGCATTAAAGAGCAGGAAGAGGGGGAACAGAGACAGCATCATTTTGGTAACTCTTCTGAGAAATTTGACTTTGAAAGTCAGGTGAGAAGCTTCACTTGTGTCTTCTGCTACACCAAACTAGATACAAGTAACATGTGGCCATGATTTTTATCTGTGCTAAAAAGAAACATTTCATAACAGGAGTTATCTTCCTATGACTTGACTTTTGTAGTCAATTAAAAATGTCTCTTAAGAGAAATAGTAAGAATTTATGCTAGGTCTCTATTGGAAATCATACCTAATTTTTTTGGCATTTACTTCTGTTTTTCAGGTACAGGGATTACAGATATCCACCTGATCATGACCAGAAATATTTTCATAATATGCAGTACTGGCACGTCCTTGCTGCCAAGATGACTTTCATCATTGTTATGGAAGTAAGCCTTTCTTAACTTGCATTCCAGCTAGTCTGTCTTCTGCCTTCAGGTTTCTAAAGGTGTCTGCTCAGCAAAAAATTATCTCAGGAAATTATTTTGAAAGAAGTAACTTAGGGATATTTTCAGTACAATGGGTTGCCCTATTATTCACCTACTATTGTTGAAGATATCAAGGTGACATAAAAGAAAAAAAGAAAAAAATGTGGCCTCTTCTTTCAAGGTCGATAAAAGGACAGAGAACTCATTGATGTTACTGAGTATCTATTATATAGTGATTCCAGACACTATAATAATAACCCTGTAAGTTAGACTTTATTAGTGACTCTTGAGAAATAAATCTGAGACTCAGCAGAATTAGCAGTGGTTTTAAAGATAATCAGCTAATATTGGAGCTGAGTTTCATTGCCAGCTATATCACTGCCAAGCATCTGCTCTGTCCACTGTATTATGTTTCCCCCTTTGTGGATTATCCATTCTTGTTATGGATATAAGGCATGCGTTCAAAGAGAACAAATACAGAGGGGGGATTTGGGTAAGTTACATATTGAGTGTTCTACATCATAAGATATGAAGGCCAATAAGGGAGAGAAATAAAGGTGAGGCACTTTTTCACTCTGCTGTGAAATCTAATAATACACAAGTCTAATGCAAGCAGACACAGATTCTACATGATAAAAAAGAGAGCAGTCTTATGTGTATCCCTGCCCATGTTTTTCTTCTCTTTCTCTCAGTTCTTTATGACTTTATCACTGTTTAATTCCCATATTTTACATCATCAGTTTAGCTCACCATTCAGTCTGGTCATTTGCACCAGGATTATTTTTCATTTTTGAGTTTTGTTTATTTATTATTCTTATTAATGTTTTTAATCATCCAGCTCTGATGACCAGTTTTTAATCTGGTGAGCTCTGACTCACCATCATCCTGGGACTTCTTTTCACCTTCTCTTGTATTGAATGCTATATGCTACATTATCTGCAATCTATGTTTCTCCCATTCTTGGTTTACTAGCTTATTTAGGTGAAGTATATTTTTCAGTAATTTTCTGAGGAAAATTATGGGTGGTCAATTTTTGAGACCTTAAATATTGGAAATTTCTTTTCTTTCCACACAGATGACTAAGTGATATAGAATTCAAGACTGAAAGTTATTTCCCTGAAAAATTTTCAACCAACTTTATTTAGGTATTCCTGACACTTTTTAAAAAAATTATTTATTATTTGAGAAAGAGAAAAAGAGAGCATGCACGTATGGGAGGTGCAGAGAAAGAGGGAGAGAGAGAATCCCAAGCAGTCTGTGCTCTCACAACATGAAGCCTGACGTGGGGCTCTATCTCATGACCATGATTGTGACTGAGCCGAAACCAAGAGGTGGCTGCTTAACCAACTGAGCCACCCAGGCACCCCAGGTATTCCTGACATTTTTGGAGACATTGCACCATTTTCTGTCAGTTTCAGTGTCAGCATTCCAATTCCCCAGTCTTTGTTTCTGATCTTTTATTAAATCAATAAGCTTTAAGGATTCTCCCACTAGTCCTCTTCTATGAAACATTACAAGACAGCTTCTTGTTATTGGACAGTATTCATTTTTTTGGACACTTTGCTGGACTCTATAAATCTGAAAACATACTTACCCTTCAGGGTGAGAAAATTTGCTTGTATGTATTATTATTATTTTTTATTCTTTCTTTTTTTTTTTTCTCTGTTCTGTCTTTCTGGAACTTCTGTTACTCAGGTGTTATGCTTTCTGTTTTGAAATTCTTATTATTTCTCTCCTATAAGTAGTTGGTCTCCTATTTTTTGTCTTTTTGTTCTGTTCTTTTGTTCCTTCATTATTTCTGTTGCCTCTTAGTTCCCATTTGCCTGTTTCAAATTTTTTCTTTTACATTAGAGACTTTCTTACATAATGGGTGATTCTTGCCAACCTGCTCATACTTAAGAGTGAATAAATGAGAACTGATTATAAGCTTTGTGTGCATACAAGAAGAATGTCACTTGGTGGGTTTCACTATAGGGTGACGAGTTAGGGAGGGGGACCTTTTCATTTGAAGCCTACAAAATTTTGATATCTACCATTCTAATTTCACAGACTGGTTACCCTCCCCAAAGAAAAATCCTCTGAACTCTTTTCTGTTGAGCTATTTTATGGCTACCTGTATTCTGAGAGCTGAGCAAGACAGAAGAAGACTAGGGATCTTAGAATTCACTGAATTTCACTTAGTTGCCCTGTTTTCAGAATGCTGCCACTTCTCCATTCTCTGGTGTCTCTGGTGCTCCTGAGTTCACAGCTTTCTGTTTTGATTTCTACAGAAAGCAAATTACTCAACTGCTGCCAGGGTGAGGTTGGAGAGAAGTAGTACCTGGATGAAGGTGGGAGAGAGGTCCTGAAAATTCACCTGCTCCTCCTTATACCAAATTTTGGCTAATCCTCTTGTTTTCAAATCCACCCACATGCATGCTTTCCAGGTCCATAAGACCATCTTTCCTGATATTTATTGAAGATCTAAAATAAAGTTGGCTTTTGTCTTCTTGGTTTTTACCATCACCATATCACCAATTGCAAGTTTAAGCGCCAGCTTTCTTCCATCTCTGGAATCTGTTCCTACTGTTTCCTCCTTTTTTTTTTTTTTTTTTTTTTTTGGGTCTTTGTGAGTTACACCATTTTTCAAAATTCCTTTACAAATATGTATTGGGTTTTCAGGAGTGAGCATAGAAAAAAGTATATTCAATAACCATGATCAACTTAAATGTCTATAATTACACATTTTAGTATATATTCATTTGCTTAAGGTTTGTCTTTCTGGGAAAGTTCTGGGACAACGACCGTATCTTTTGCCTTTTCCTCATACTTCTGTGTTGAGCACAGTTTATTGAATGATTAAAGTGGTTTGTAAGAACTTCCTGCTGAACATTTGACAATTCTAATGTCCTTGATGTTCTTTTATTTTTCCTCCAGCACGTTGTGTTTTTAGTTAAATTTTTGTTGGCCTGGATGATTCCTGATGTTCCAAAAGATGTTCTGGAGAGAATCAAGAGAGAAAAGTTAATGACTATCAAGATTCTCCATGACTTTGAGCTTAACAAATTAAAAGAGAACTTGAGAGCTAATTCAAGTGAACTTGCCAAAGAAGTCCTGATTCAGGAAAACAAAACACAACTGGCTAAATCAACAGTCTAATCAACATAATGAACAAGCCACTGGTTGCCTGTTAGGCTTCACAATTTTCCGTGGGTTTTCAGGCCAGAGGCCAGAAGCCACATGTCAGTTTCACCCTGCCTCCTCCTCTTCCTTCTTCTTTTTTAACTGAGAGTTTTCTGTACCCTTTTACAGAGGCCAACTTTGTGAGGTTGGAAGAATACCACTTGTCTGCTTCATTGACTGAGCCCTCTGCAGATATTGTTTTCTGGAGTTCTAGAAATGATTGTTAAGAGTGCATATCAAATCAGAATAATGGAAAATCATGGGATGTTGCAGTTTAGAATTAAACACTGGACTTGGGCTATCCCATCATGTTCCAGTGCATCTGCACATTTTCATGGTCTCCTATTGGGTTGTTTTATAACTTCTTCCCATCAAGAAAAATGTTGGGACATGGAGAAAAGAAGTGAAGAGGCCTACTGAGCCATCTATATCCTGCCATCTTCGACCATGTGAATGAAACCCCCAAATTAAACGACTTAAGAAAACTCATTTATTAAATGCGTTGAGTAAATATCATGGCAGGGATTTGTTCTTGAAATCATCCTGAATAAGGTAAACTTCCATCAGAATCCCAGATAGCCCTTCCAGGTCAATGCAGAATTGATTTTTCAAGAGACTGGACATTTGGGTTTCAACAAAAGTCTAACATCTCAGTTCTTTAAAGACGACATTTTGGTAACGGCAATTTCAAGTGTGGATTGTTATCTGGAAAACAGCATTAAGTTGTTAGGTTGCTTCAGTTCTTTAAGAAAATGAAAGATATTGTAGAGAAGTAAATGTGTCTTCTTACTAGTTAACAAACACAAGACAATGAATATTGATTAATTTGTTGAGCTTAATCTATAAAAAATTGTTGAATTTTTAAAAATCATTTTTCTTCTACAATGTGTATTTTGCATCATGAAACCTGTTTGAGCATTAGCTCTTTGTATAAGTTAGGTACAAGTTGTTTATGAAATGGGTTTACACTTTTAATGGGTTTACACTGTTTTCTATTGATGCATTCATTGCTCCATAGAGTGCTCAGTGCCTTGTCCCTATGCCTTTGACACACAAGAAGTGGTTGTGCTGTTCATCTGATGTGATGTAACATCTCAAATGTTAGCTTCTTTTAGAGAAATTGTCAATTTAACATTATTCATGGAGTTTAACACCAGAAGATCAACCAAGGAAGAAGGGGGTGATGGATTTGATAGCTAAGTGAGAAAAAATTAATTGAATGATTTCTCTCATATGTAGGCCTATGGCACATGTACACCTGTTCTTCTTTCTCTTAAAAATACTTCATCCATATTTTTAACATTATAGAGTGAGAGATACAGTTCAGTTATATAGTATTTACGTCCATAGCTTCAAATTACACTTCAGTTCCCAAAAAATGGTGTTTTTTTAAATTGTATACAAAAGGAGAAACTTTATCACAAGATTTTTTTAGGTAGTATTTCATTATTTGATCCTAATACATTTTTGTAGAATTGCCAATATTAAGTACATGGCAGGTGGTATTAACTGGTGTTCAGTATTAAGCATTTAGAAATGAGGATTATGAATTTTATAAAACCATGAGACAGTTACCCCAATATTGGCAGTAATGATTTGGCATCCACTGGGTATATTTAAAAAAAACATTTTTGTGTAATTTAAAATGATCTCATTATTGAAAAAATCATTTCATAAGAAGAGGAGACCTATTTTTTGCTTGAGAACACCAGTCAATGTTACTATGAAATAAGCCACAGATGCAGTATCTTTGGCTTGTGAAATCAAACTCTTTGTTACTACAGTGTTGTCCCTTGTGCACAGCTCATACATATTGCTTTCTTCCAGGTGCTAATAAAAATAAGGAAGAGTGTGGAAATTGGTTTCTTGGATATAAGTTTTAGTTTGTATGGCTTAACAGTATTTATAGATCTAGAGTGTTAAATAAAGACAAATCAAACTCGTAAAATTATCTGTACACCGCAATCTTAAAACAAAATCAACTCAAGTGTCAGGTTTCTAGAATGTATGGAGAAACTAGCAAGAGAGGAAATCATTTGAAGACAAGCAAATAGTTCCAATGATTGGTAGAATCATTTGTGTTGTTAATGGAGGGCTGAATTTAGAGACTACCAAGTGTAGGTTGAGATTTATCAGCATGGCTGATGTTTTCATCATCCAGTCAAACCCAAACTTTCTTTTTTTCCAGAAATGTTCCGGGAAACACTTGAGATTTTATTTGAAATAATTTTAAGTGCAAAAGCCAAAAAAATTACATAACTCTTTTCAAATGTCATCTCTAATCCTTGCCTTCATCAGTTTTTCTTTGCACACAAGAAGCAAAATCCACCTCAAAACATTTATTTTAGAGGAATCCATCAAGAAGGGAGTATCTTAATTAAATGGGCTGCTGTCTTATCTTTGTTGCATCTCATGATTTCTCTTGGCTTTAACATTCTTCTCTCAGCTAAGCCATTAAGCAGCTTATCAAGGAGAAGATGCAAAGACGATGATAATGAAGAGGAGGGGCAGAGGAAGAAGGAGATAAAATAGTGTTCTCTCCTTATGAAGCTGTGCATGCTTCCATGGGGAGAGGCGCAGTGAGGCAGCATGGTGCAGCTGTGGGTAGTGAGAGGAATGTCTCTCCTAAGCCATCTCAGTGAGGATGAGAGAAAAGCCAAAGAAGTTTCAAGCTGAAAACTACTAGGTGTCAAAAGTAAAACTTGGATTCCAAAGTGCCTGTGTAGCATCAGCTGCTATGGGTAGCCCTGGATCTCTGTTGATGGACTCCAGTTGAGGGTGAGGAGTTTGTATCACTCATTCAACAGGGGAGTCTGTTTGTTTTGGAAGAACCTCTCTATAATAGTTGTTTTTAATTAGCAATAGTTATTATGTTATCAAAGAATGTTAATAGGGAACAGAGCATTGCCAGAGTACCATTGACTAGACTTTGAAGTCTGCCACCGTCATTGACTATAACTATTATATTATTCTTTTTCTGGACAGATCTTTACTCTTCTGCTTTATGTATGATAATTCAGGTATGTCACCTATTCCAGCATTATGTAAAAATTCATGGGAATATTAAAAAGAATAGCAAAAATTCATGAGAATATTAAAAAGAATAGCATAGTTCAAAGTGTATGAGATTCCAGCTTCAACTCCCCCACCCCCATATTTGACTAGCATATCTTTCCTGTGAGTGATTCTGTGCCATGGTGTTAACCAAGAAAATGGGTACTCCTTTTTCTTTTCTCTTGTCTGCTGTTTTCCCTCCCCCGAGGAGGTGGGAATGGAGGTATACAGGGAAAGTTGCTCTTAAGTAACCTGTACATCAATCTCAAGAGATTCAAACTCATGCAGTGAATAAATACTTTGGCATGAACTCAATTTATTCTTCCAGTAAAACATTGATATGATTCCTCCGAATTTGAGTACCCTAAGAGATTTTTAAGTCTTGTTTTTGTTTAGAATCCTTAAGATGCATTACATGTAAAGTGATTACTTCACAAAATTCCATGTTTGTCACATTTAGAGATGCAAATTCCTTAAACTAAGAGGCTGTTATGGTCCAGGAAATTTGGAGAAGGTGGTACTTTTTTTGTTTTGTCTCTTTATTTTTTTTCTCCTTTGGGAGATGATAAAGGTGAAATCTCCCAAGTAATGTTTTGGTGGGTATAAGAATTGACAATTTCCTAAGAATGCCAAATTCCTAGCCTAAAGCATTTTCATACTAACTCTCAAACTTATCATTTCAACCCATGAGGGAAGTATGTCAGGGCATGTGAACTCAGGATTTCCAAATGTGTAGAACTGTCCTAATTCTGCAGTGTACAGAGGTAACTGAAATCTTATACCCTAAGAGCCCTAGACTTATAGTTTCTATTTAATTTAAAAAAACAGGGGCGCCTGGGTGGCGCAGTCGGTTAAGCGTCCGACTTCAGCCAGGTCACGATCTCGCGGTCCGTGAGTTCGAGCCCCGCGTCAGGCTCTGGGCTGATGGCTCAGAGCCTGGAGCCTGGTTCCGATTCTGTGTCTCCCTCTCTCTCTGCCCCTCGCCCGTTCATGCTCTGTCTCTCTCTGTCCCAAAAATAAATAAACGTTGAAAAAAAAATTTAAAAAAAGAGAGAGAGTGAGAGAGAGAGAGATATTTGCTTTTACTAACATATTCAAGAAAACAAAAGTGCATGCTGGCCAGAGACTGAGATGAATACATCACATTCTGTATGTGAAAGACACATTCGAGGTTGAAAGAATAAACAGATTTTCAGGGTTTAATCAGGACAGCAAAACTATGAATATTGTAGAATAAAGGGTTTGTTATAGAAAATAGGCCTTTGAAACTGGAAGAAACTGGGAAGTCGTGGTCTGGAAGGGCTGAAGGGTCAGAGAAAGGCACTATTCACCTCTCCTGAAACACTGCCATAGGTGGAAAACTGGAGCACATATGGGTATTCAAGGGCGGAAATGAGACTAGGCAGGAAGACTCACGAAGAAGTCTATAGAAGGCCATTGCGGGGCGCCTGGGTGGCGCAGTCGGTTAAGCGTCCGACTTCAGCCAGGTCACGATCTCGCGGTCCGTGAGTTCGAGCCCCGCGTCGGGCTCTGGGCTGATGGCTCAGAGCCTGGAGCCTGTTTCCGATTCTGTGTCTCCCTCTCTCTCTGCCCCTCCCCCGTTCATGCTCTGTCTCTCTCTGTCCCAAAAATAAATAAACGTTGAAAAAAAAAATTAAAAAAAAAAAAAAAAAAAAGAAGGCCATTGCTTCTGTATAGCTACTTCTGTGAGTTTGCAACCAAGTTTCACCGCTGGTCGGGAAGATCTGGAAATGAAGTGGAACAGAGTGAGGACAAGCCCAACTGAGCCCCGTCTGTGTGTCCTTCATATATCTGGCTGCAAAGACCTCCACAGAGAATTAGCTGCTGCTTCACTTACGTTTGCCTCTTTTGCAAATAGAACCTGACACCCTATAAGGAAAAAAGAAAATTTCTGGGAAATACAGCTCCAGCTTAACCAAAACTACCATATAAACAAAATTTTACAAAATTAATGAAACTATTGATCATTTGAACAATGTGATTAAAGAATAGAGCCAATTTGCCTTCATAAAATGTTGTATTCAATAACTAAGAATAGGAGTCTTTTTTCAGGAACATTCTAAACTCTTACAAGATCTGACCAAATACAAGGACATTAAAATAAGAAATTTTCACATAACTATGGATCCAAAAATTGATCAAAGTTGATTTTAGAAGATAATTCTAATTACATGGAACCAAAAGTACTGTGCAGCTCACATTTTGTGAGTACACTAAATACTTCTTGTGGGTTCTTTTTTTTTTTTTTTTAAGTTTATTTATTTATTTTGAGAGAGAGTGAAAAAGCATGCACAAGCAGGGGAGGGGCAGGGAGAAGGAGAGAATCCCAAGCAGGCTTCCAGCCATCAGCACAGAGCCTGATGCAGGGCTTGAACTCATGAACTGTGAGATCATGACTTGAGTCCAGATCAAGAGTTGGACACTTAACCCACTGAGCCACCCAGGTGCCCCAATTCTTTTTTTTTTTTTTTTTTAAGTTTAGTTCTGAGAGGGAGAGAGAGCACCAGGGGAGTGGGGGAGGGGCAGAGAGGTGGAGAGAAAGAGAATCCCAAGCAGGCTCAGCACTGTCAGCACAGAACCCAAAGCAGGCCTCCAATCCAGGAATCATGAGCTTAATGGATTGAGCCACCCAGGCTCCCGTTTTGTCGGTTGCTTTTAGGGGAAATGTATAGTCTTCATTTGGCTATTCAAAAAGAACAAAGGAATATAAGCTAAGCATCCAAAGAAGTTAGAGAATGGCAATATAAACAAAAAAGAAAGGAAAAGGAATTTAAGTGGAGAAATTAATGAAAAACTTAACAGAAAACATTTATTAATGGGAACATGTTAGACTCACCCCTTTTATATTCAGCAACAAGAAATTACACTTCCAGTAATAATAGCCTGGGTTTTGTTCAAGTCATTGAAACTCTGAGAACAACCAGAAAAATTGGGTAAAATGTTTAAAAAATTGAAAATATCAGAAAATTGCAAAGCAGAGGGGGACTTGCAGCCTTCTAGAATCAGTATTTAGGAGACGTAAGCCTGCTTTTGTGGTGATTTTTCTCCTTGAGGAAATTTTAAAAATATCTGGAAATTAAACAACATAGTTCTCAATGCCATATGGATTAGGGGAAAAAAACTCAATGGATATTAGATAACATTTTTAAATGAAAATATTGACATTTCATGATTTGTGGGAGGCAGCTAAACCACTGCTTTAAGAAAAAATATATGGATTGTAATGCATACATTAGACAAAATTATAAAAATCAATGAAGCTTCTATCTCAAATATATAGGAAGAAAATAAGCAACATAAACCCAAAGAATGGAGGAAAGAGAAAATAACAAAAGTTAAATAGAAAGCAACCATACAATAGAGAAAACTAACAAAGACAAAAGTCTGTTCTTTGAAAAAGCTAACAAAATTGATAACTACCTTGCAAGAAATGATAAAGAAAAAAAGAAATCACAAATTACCAAACTCAGGAGAGTATCTTCATGACTCGGGCTAGGCAAAACAATAACCATTAAAGAAATGATAGATACATTAACTTCTTCAAAATTAGGAAATTCTATTCAGTAAAAGACAACATTAAGAGTGTGAAAACATATGCCACAGATAAAGAGAAAGTAGTTCCAAAATGACTCATACCCAGGATATATAAATAAGTTCTGTAAATGAAATTAAAACACAGCCCTATTTTAAAAGTGGGCAAAACACTGTAAACAGACATTTTACAAAAGAAGTCCAAATTACCAATAAACTATAGAAAGGTGAACAGCATTGTTGGTCATAAGAGAAATTCCAGAAACGCTAGTATACTCATACCTGATGGCAAATATGAAATGACTGATAATACAAGTGTTAGAAAGGAGAGGAGCAAGTGGAATTCTCATCTATTGCTGATGGGACTGAAAATTATTACCAACACTTTGAAAATTGTTCAGCATGAGCGAGGAAACCTTATAAGCATTATGCTATGACTTACCCTATGACTGAACAATTTTTAAACACTTCTGTCTATCAAAGGACATGTAAAGAATGCCAACAGCAGCCTTATTCATTGTATTCCAAACTAGCTATAATCTGAAAATCTACAATGCAATGGAGAATTGAGCTATGCTATATTAATTAAATAGAATACTAACAACAATGAAATAATGCAGTATCATTGATTGGATTTCACAGAGCTTAAAAGAAGCTTAACCGAAAGGAGCACACTTGCATGTCTAATGGACATGTTTTTGATGTATATAAAGTTTAAAAATATGGTAAAATGAACCTGTGATAGAAAGTTCAGAATAATGGTCACTTTTGGGGGGAGGTGTCATTTGGGAAGATGCATGAAGAAACTTCCGGTGCTACTGAAAATGTGTTCTATTTTCATTCGAGTTGTGGTTACACAGGTACATGCAGAGTACACCTGTGGTTGTAATTGTGGTTGCGGTTGTGGTTACACAGGTGTATACATAACTGTGAATTCATTAAGCTGTATATACTTGTTCACTGTATTCTATGAATATTATACATCAATAAAAAAATTGAAATTGTAACCATGGAATGGGAAAAGATATTTACAACATACATTTCTGATAAAGACATATCTACAATATTTTGGGAAACTGCTACAAATTTATAAGAGAAAGACAGACAACCTGTTATTGAAAATGGTGAAGAGGCTTGAATACACAATATAAAAAGAATCTTCAAGTGGCCAATAAACACGTGGCAAAGTGCTCAACTTCATTATTATGCAGGAAAATTAGGATGCAAATTGTGTTTGCAACCAAGTGGGACTTGTCCCAGGAATGCCAGACTGGTTCAATCTTCACAAACAACTAGTTAATCAATCACTTCAGATCAACAGGCTAATGAAGAAAAATGACATAATCATATCAATAGATGCAGAAAAAGCATTTGATGGAATCCAATACCCATTCATAATAAAAAGTTTCAGAAAACCTTTTTCATCTCAAAATGGATGATATGGCATGATAATGATATTATTTCTATAATTTTGAGAGTATATATTCTTTAGAGAAATATCCTAAATATTTGTGGGTGAAATGACATAATGATTATATCCTTCAAAATAATCCTTGATGGGGGAGGGGAAGTTGAATGGGAGGAGATATAAGTAAAACAAGATTGCCAGGTGTGAGAACATACATGTTTTGAGAGCTCTTCTTTCTGCCTTGGTATATATCTGAAAATTTTTCACAATTAACAGTCAAAAACAACAAACTACAAACTGTCCAGCCAGCAACTTAACTCTAGAAATTTATGTACAGAAATAACAAAACAAAAAAATTGTAAACTGCAGAGAGAGAAATTTTTTTCGAAA